CCTACAAGGCACCAAGACGCATGGAATTTGCTACAAGCCAAGTGCAAGGATCGACTTCCGTGGATATTCGGATGCGGATTGGGCTGGTGATCTTACCGACCGCAAGTCAACATCGGGGTACACGTTCATGCTACTCGGTGCGCCAGTCAGTTGGGGCAGCAAGAAGCAGCCAAGTGTTTCGTTGTCCACGACTGAAGCCGAATACATCGCACTCAGCTTGGCGATTCAAGAGGGCAAGTGGATTCATCGTCTGCTTTGTGAGATTGTGATGGCTGCCAATGAAGAAGGACCGGAACTCATGATCCATGAAGACAATCAGTCGTGTATCAAGATGACGAAGAACCCAGTCAACCACGGCCGTGCCAAGCACATTGATATCAAGTACCATCACATCCGTGATGAGGTCAAGCGCGGTGAAGTGAAGCTCAAGTACTGTGAAACTGCGGTGATGTTAGCGGACATCATGACGAAGGGACTTCACGGGCCACGCCACAAGGAGATGACGGCGACTCTCGGGATTCGTGAGCATTCGGATTGAGGGGCGTGTTGACGGTCATCGGTTTTCTACCAGTATTGGTAACCGTGACCGATCCAATCCGAACCGCCTGTTCAGCTTAGTATTTACGACGTAGTTCTTACGGTAATTACCATAGTTGATTAGACGCGTAGGATGATGAGATAGCTTCACATGATTTATATGTACACCACATATAAATCATGTAGTAAGTAGTAAGCCCCGATAATCAATCACTTTCGAATCTTCCAACTATTGGGCAAGTGTTTTCTGCTCTACTCTCTTCGGTCTCTCCGCTCCGTTTGCTCCGCTTTCCTCGCTCCGATCTACAATGCAACATAAGCGGCCCTGACCAAGTGCACTGGAGAAAAGCAATTCATGCAGAGCTCGAGTCAATGCGACTTCGCGGTGTGTTTCGTGCAGCCAAGCTGCCCAACGGACAACGCGCCATTGGCACAAAATGGGTGTTCAAGATCAAGCGCAAGGCGGATGGGTCAATCGAGAAGTACAAGGCACGACTTGTGGCCAAGGGTTTCCGCCAAAAGTATGGCATCGACTACACGGAGACGTTTTCGCCTGTGGTCAAGTATGTGACGCTGCGAATGGTGATCGCAATTTCCAAGCATTTTGGATGGCCCGTCGACCAGCTTAATGTGGTGACAGCTTTCCTGTATGGCGTCATGAAGGAACAAGTGTTCTGCGTGATTCCTGAAGGCGTCGAACTTGACAGTACGTTCGACTGCCTGGAATTGGTGAAGTCAATTTACGGCCTCAAGCAAGCTTCGCGAGTGTGGAACGAGACGTTCGACGAGTATGTGTGCTCCATCGGATGTCAAGTATCGGACTTCGACCCATGTCTCTACATCAAGACTTCGGACGGCCATTGCGTGTTTATACTGGTCTACGTGGACGACGTCTTGGTGACTGGAAGCTCGCTCGAGCTGATTGCACAAACCAAGAACGACCTGAAGACGCGGTTCAAAATGACGGACAGCGGCAAGTGTGCGTTTGTTCTTGGGATCGAGCTTTTGGACGGTGAAGATGGCAGTGTGACAATATGTCAGCGTCGGTATGTCGATGATATCCTCAAGCGCTTTGGCATGGATGATTGCAAGGCAGTCGCAAGTCCAGTCGACATGAGCTCTCGACTTGTTTCAAGTGATGCAACTACCAAGGTCGATGCTCCTTTTCGCGAAGCTGTTGGTGCGTTGATCCACCTGACCACTGCAACGCGTCCGGACATTGCGTTTGCTGTGGGCTATGTGTCGCGGTTCATGGAAAATCCCCAAGAAGAACACTGGGTTGCAGTTAAGCGTATCTTTCGCTACCTACAAGGCACCAAGACGCATGGAATTTGCTACAAGCCAAGTGCAAGGATCGACTTCCGTGGATATTCGGATGCGGATTGGGCTGGTGATCTTACCGACCGCAAGTCAACATCGGGGTACACGTTCATGCTACTCGGTGCGCCAGTCAGTTGGGGCAGCAAGAAGCAGCCAAGTGTTTCGTTGTCCACGAGTGAAGCCGAATACATCGCACTCAGCTTGGCAATTCAAGAGAGCAAGTGGATTCATCGTCTGCTTTGTGAGATCGTGATGGCTGCCAATGAAGAAGGACCGGAACTCATGATCCATGAAGACAATCAGTCGTGTATCAAGATGACGAAGAACCCTGTCAACCATGGCCGTGCCAAGCACATCGACATTAAGTACCATCACATCCGTGATGAGGTCAAGCGCGGCGAAGTCAAGCTCAAGTACTGTGAGACTACGGTGATGTTAGCATACATCATGACCAAGGGACTTCACGGACCGCGCCACAAGGAGATGACGACGGCTCTCGGGATTCGTGAGCATTCGGATTGAGGGGGCGTGTTGACGGTCATCGGTTTTCTACCAGTATTGGTAACCGTGACCGATCCAATCCGAACCGCCTGTTCAGCTTAGTATTTACGACGTAGTTCTTACGGTAATTACCATAGTTGATTAGACGCGTAGGATGATGAGACGCTTCACATGATTTATATGTACACCACATATAAATCATGTAGTAAGTAGTAAGCCCCGATAATCAATCACTTTCGAATCTTCCAACTATTGGGCAAGTGTTTTCTGCTCTACTCTCTTCGGTCTCTCCGCTCCGTTTGCTCCGCTTTCCTCGCTCCGATCTACAATGCAACATAAGCGGCCCTGACCAAGTGCACTGGAGAAAAGCAATTCATGCAGAGCTCGAGTCAATGCGACTTCGCGGTGTGTTTCGTGCAGCCAAGCTGCCCAACGGACAACGCGCCATTGGCACAAAATGGGTGTTCAAGATCAAGCGCAAGGCGGATGGGTCCATCGAGAAGTACAAGGCACGTCTCGCGGCAAAGGGCTTTCGCTCAAAGTATGGAATCGACTACACGGAGACGTTTTTGCCCGTGGTCAAGCATGTGACGCTGCGAATGGTGATCGCAATTTCCAAGCATTTTGGATGGCCCGTCGACCAGCTTAATGTGGTGACAGCTTTCCTGTATGGCGTCATGAAGGATCAAGTGTTTTGTGTGATTCCTGAAGGCGTCGAACTTGACAGTACGTTCGACTGCCTGGAATGGGTGAAGGCAATTTACGGCCTGAAGCAAGCTTTGCGAGTATGGAACGAGACTTTTGACGAGTGTGTGTGCTCCATCGGATGTCAAGTATCGGACTTCGACCCATGTCTCTACATCAAGACTTCGGACGGCCATTGCGTGTTTATACTGGTCTACGTGGACGACGTCTTGGTGACTGGAAGCTCGCTCGAGCTGATTGCACAAACCAAGAACGACCTGAAGACGCGGTTCAAAATGACGGACAGCGGCAAGTGTGCGTTTGTTCTTGGGATCGAGCTTTTGGACGGTGAAGATGGCAGTGTGACAATATGTCAGCGTCGGTATGTCGATGATATCCTCAAGCGCTTTGGCATGGATGATTGCAAGGCAGTCGCAAGTCCAGTCGACATGAGCTCTCGACTTGTTTCAAGTGATGCAACTACCAAGGTCGATGCTCCTTTTCGCGAAGCTGTTGGTGCGTTGATCCACCTGACCACTGCAACGCGTCCGGACATTGCGTTTGCTGTGGGCTATGTGTCGCGGTTCATGGAAAATCCCCAAGAAGAACACTGGGTTGCAGTTAAGCGTATCTTTCGCTACCTACAAGGCACCAAGACGCATGGAATTTGCTACAAGCCAAGTGCAAGGATCGACTTCCGTGGATATTCGGATGCGGATTGGGCTGGTGATCTTACCGACCGCAAGTCAACATCGGGGTACACGTTCATGCTACTCGGTGCGCCAGTCAGTTGGGGCAGCAAGAAGCAGCCAAGTGTTTCGTTGTCCACGACTGAAGCCGAATACATCGCACTCAGCTTGGCGATTCAAGAGGGCAAGTGGATTCATCGTCTGCTTTGTGAGATCGTGATGGCTGCCAATGAAGAAGGACCGGAACTCATGATCCATGAAGACAATCAGTCGTGTATCAAGATGACGAAGAACCCAGTCAACCACGGCCGTGCCAAGCACATTGATATCAAGTACCATCACATCCGTGATGAGGTCAAGCGCGGTGAAGTGAAGCTCAAGTACTGTGAAACTGCGGTGATGTTAGCGGACATCATGACGAAGGGACTTCACGGGCCACGCCACAAGGAGATGACGGCGACTCTCGGGATTCGTGAGCATTCGGATTGAGGGGGCGTGTTGACGGTCATCGGTTTTCTACCAGTATTGGTAACCGTGACCGATCCAATCCGAACCGCCTGTTCAGCTTAGTATTTACGACGTAGTTCTTACGGTAATTACCATAGTTGATTAGACGCGTAGGATGATGAGACGCTTCACATGATTTATATGTACACCACATATAAATCATGTAGTAAGTAGTAAGCCCCGATAATCAATCACTTTCGAATCTTCCAACTATTGGGCAAGTGTTTTCTGCTCTACTCTCTTCGGTCTCTCCGCTCCGTTTGCTCCGCTTTCCTCGCTCCGATCTACAATGCAACATAAGCGGCCCTGACCAAGTGCACTGGAGAAAAGCAATTCATGCAGAGCTCGAGTCAATGCGACTTCGCGGTGTGTTTCGTGCAGCCAAGCTGCCCAACGGACAACGCGCCATTGGCACAAAATGGGTGTTCAAGATCAAGCGCAAGGCGGATGGGTCAATCGAGAAGTACAAGGCACGACTTGTGGCCAAGGGTTTCCGCCAAAAGTATGGCATCGACTACACGGAGACGTTTTCGCCTGTGGTCAAGTATGTGACGCTGCGAATGGTGATCGCAATTTCCAAGCATTTTGGATGGCCCGTCGACCAGCTTAATGTGGTGACAGCTTTCCTGTATGGCGTCATGAAGGAACAAGTGTTCTGCGTGATTCCTGAAGGCGTCGAACTTGACAGTACGTTCGACTGCCTGGAATGGGTGAAGTCAATTTACGGCCTCAAGCAAGCTTCGCGAGTGTGGAACGAGACGTTCGACGAGTATGTGTGCTCCATCGGATGTCAAGTATCGGACTTCGACCCATGTCTCTACATCAAGACTTCGGACGGCCATTGCGTGTTTATACTGGTCTACGTGGACGACGTCTTGGTGACTGGAAGCTCGCTCGAGCTGATTGCACAAACCAAGAACGACCTGAAGACGCGGTTCAAAATGACGGACAGCGGCAAGTGTGCGTTTGTTTTTGGGATCGAGCTTTTGGACGGTGAAAATGGCAGTGTGACACTATGTCAGCATCGGTATGTCGATGATATCCTCAAGCGCTTTGGCATGGATGATTGCAAGGCAGTCGCAAGTCCAGTCGACATGAGCTCTCGACTTGTTTCAAGTGATGCAACTACCAAGGTCGATGCTCCTTTTCGCGAAGCTGTTGGTGCGTTGATCCACCTGACCACTGCAACGCGTCCGGACATTGCGTTTGCTGTGGGCTATGTGTCGGGGTTCATGGAAAATCCCCAAGAAGAACACTGGGTTGCAGTTAAGCGTATCTTTCGCTACCTACAAGGCACCAAGACGCATGGAATTTGCTACAAGCCAAGTGCAAGGATCGACTTCCGTGGATATTCGGATGCGGATTGGGCTGGTGATCTTACCGACCGCAAGTCAACATCGGGGTACACGTTCATGCTACTCGGTGCGCCAGTGAGTTGGGGCAGCAAGAAGCAGCCAAGTGTTTCGTTGTCCACGACTGAAGCTGAATACATCGCACTCAGCTTGGCGATTCAAGAGGGCAAGTGGATTCATCGTCTGCTTTGTGAGATCGTGATGGCTGCCAATGAAGAAGGACCGGAACTCATGATTCATGAAGACAATCAATCGTGTATCAAGATGACGATAATCCTGTCAACCATGGCCGTGCCAAGCACATTGACATCAAGTACCATCACATCCGTGATGAGGTCTAGCGCGGCCAAGTCAAGCTCAAGTACTGTGAGACTGCGGTGATGTTAGCAGACATCATGACCAAGGCACTTCATGGACCGCGCCACAAGGAGATGACGGCGACTCTCGGGATTCGTGCGTGTTCGCATTGAGGGGGCGTGTTGACGGTCATCGGTTTCCTACCAGTATTGGTAACCGTGACCGGTCCAATCTGAACCACCTGTTCAGCTTAGTATTTACGACGTAGTTCTTACGGTAATTACCATAGTTGATTAGACACGTAGGATGATGAGACGCTTCACATGATTTATATGTGCACCACATATAAATCATGTAGTAAGTAGTAAGCCCCGATAATTAATCACTTTTCAATCTTCCATCTACCCCCAAGTGTCTTCTCCGGTCTTCCGAGTGGATCCCAGCATCCCTCCCAGTTTCGGTCGTCAAGCTTTTCACCATTCAACACAGAAGGAAGACAATCGGGGAGCTCGACGCGGCGGCAATGCTCGTGGACGCGGAGCGAATCAAGTTCAGTGGCAAGGCTACAACGGCAACAACAACTATGACCGTGATTGAGTGGCGTTTTCTGTTTTGCTGGAATGCGGACTTTCAACGACCAGGAGCATGTCTGGAATGTGGGCGATTGACAGCGGTACAACACATCACATCTGCTATGACAAGTCCAAGTTCGAAGTTATGGACGAGCGCAATGAAGGTGAAGTGTTGGTTGCAGAGGCAAGCAAGGCTGCGATCAACGGTGTTGGGACGATCGTCGAAAAGGTGGTCCTTTCCAATGGTGAAGAGCGCGAAGTCTAGATCAAGAACGCGCTTTACGTCCCAAGCATGAACAAGAACTTGCTGTCGATACCACAAATCAACAAAAGCGGCAAGTTTCAAGTGGTGTTTGATGTTGACGAGATGAAGATTTCGCACAAAGGCTCCAAGCAAGTAACGGCGATGGCCGATCTTGTGGATGGCCTCCACTGGCTTTGTACATGTTGACGGTTATCGGTTTCCTACCAGTGTTGGTAACCGTGACCGGTCCAATCCGAACCGCCTGTTCAGCTTAGTATTTACGACGTAGTTCTTACGGTAATTACCATAGTTGATTAGACGCGTAGGATGATGAGACGCTTCACATGATTTGTATGTGCACCACATATAAATCATGTAGTAAGTAGTAAGCCCCGATAATCAATCACTTTCGAATCTTCCAACTATTGGGCAAGTGTTTTCTGCTCTACTCTCTTCGGTCTCTCCGCTCCGTTCGCTCCGCTCTCCTCGCTCCGATCTACAATGCAACAGGTTATGAGCCCAAGCGCCATGTCGTCCACCAGCAACGCCTCCATTGACAAGTTCAACGGAGACAATTACGCAACGTGGAGCCGGTACATGCGCGGTGTGTTTTTGACGAAGTCCGTCTGGCACGTGGTCAACCGTGAAGTGACTCCGACTTTCACCGACCCGCGAGCGTCCGATGACTACGTCAAGGCAAGCAACGTCGCGTTTGGTATGATGCTGCTGCACATGAACGCGGACTACCATCATGTGCTGGACAACTGCGAGGAAGCCTGGGTTGCGTGGACAAGTCTGAAGACGCTGTACGGTGGGTCTCAGAAGGCAGGACGCATCTACCTCAAGCGACAACTTTTCAGTATCAAGATGGCTGAAGGCGCGAACGTCATGCATCACTGCAACGAGGTCCTCAACATCTCCGCCAAGCTTAGCGGCATCGGTGCGAAGATGGAAGACGAAGACGTTGCAATTTGTCTGCTACTCAGTCTTCCGAAGAGCTACGAAAACGTGGTGCTCAACATGGAAATGAGCAGCACCGAGCTTCGCACTCAAGATGTGGTGAGAGTCCTGACGAATGAGCATGCCAAGCGTCAAGGAGCAAAAGGGACAACGACAGCGACTACGGTGAAGGCTGAAGATGCAAGCAAGGCATTCAGCGCCGAGCGTGAGCCCTACCAATGCACGTATTGTGGCAAGGTGGGACACACGGTGGATCGTTGCTGGACAAAGCAGAAGAACGAAGGTCGGGGAGCCCGACGCGGCGGCAATGGTCGTGGACGCGGGGCTAACAATGTCCAGTGGGAACATCATGATGAAGGCAATGGCTACGATCGAGTGGCGTTTGCAGTCTCGTTCGAATGTGGAGTTTCGACGAGCAAGGACGTGTCTGGAATGGGGGCCGTCGACAGTGGTGCAACGCACCACATTTGCCACGACAAGACCAAGTTCGCAAGTTTGGCAGAGCGCAATGAGGGCGAACTCTTGGTGGCTGATGGCAACAAGGTGGCCATCAAGGGTGTGGGAACCATCATGGAAAAGGTGGTTCTGCCCAACGGTGAAGAGCGTGAGATCGAAATCTAGAACGCGCTATATGTTCCAAGTATGAGCAAGAACCTGCTCTCGGTGCCACAGATTAACAGCCATGGCAAGTTTTAAGTCGTGTTTGACGGGTCCAAGATGTATGTGACTCTCAAGAACTCACATCAAGTGGTGGCGATTGCAGATTTTGTGGATGGACTTTACTGGCTTCGGACGACTCAACGATCAGCGAATGTGACAACAAGTGGAACCAGTTGTGCCGACCTACATGCGAGAATGGGTCATGCTCCAGTCGACGTGCTTTGCAAGATGGTCTCCAACAACATGATCAAAGATGTGGGAGTACCTCTCGAGTCAAGTGGATCAGGTACATATCGAGGATGTCAGCAAGGGGAAATGGTCCAAAAACCATTTCCAAGCAACCGAGACAAGCGCAGCTACGATACGTTTGAGCTACTTCATCTGGACATCTGCGGGCCCATGGAAAAGGATTCGCTCGGTGGCAGCAAATATTTGCTGCTGATCATCGACGAAGCCAGTGGATGCATGAAGGGCTTTTGTCTACGAGTGAAGTCCGAGAGTGAAGACTACATCCGGAAATATATCACCATGGTACAGACGCAATTCTGTAAGAAGGTCAAGTTCGTGCGACACGACGGAGCTCGCGAGTTTGCAACCAACTCGCTTCAACTGTTCTACGAAGACGAAGGCATTGAACAGCAGACGACGGTGCCGTATGCACACCAGAACAACAGAACAGCAATCGCGCCATCGGGACTATCGTCACGATCGGCCGCAGCATGCTTCACCATGCCAAGTTGGACAAGTGCTTCTGGGCCGAAGCAGCGATGACGGCCATCTACGTCAAGAATTGACTGCCGTCACCTAAAGTCGTGCACAAGACCCCGTTTGAGGTCGCCTACAACTTGAAACCAAGCGTCAAGCACATGCGAACATTCAAATGTCAGACATACATACTGACGCCTAAAGAGAATCGACTCAAGTGGGATCCAAAGGCTCGCGCTGGCATATTCGTGGGCTACGAAGAAGTTTCGAAGGCATATCGTGTTTATGACATCGAGGCGGGGCAGGTGGTTATCAGCCGCGATGTCAACTTCGAAGAGTCCACCTTTGGACTTCAACTGCCGATCACTGATGAAGATGTCAATGACCTGGACTTCGAAATTCTGGATCTTGATGACGAAGAGCTGCGTCAAATGGAGTACAAGCAAACAGGCAAGCGCAAGAACCGACTCAATGATGAAGATACAGCACCTCCACGACCGCGTGCAGTGCGTCAACGACCAGGACTAGAAGAATCAAGCGCGCCGGAAAACAACTCGTCACGCCAAGAAGAAGACGAAGAAACGAAGGATTCTGGTGATTCAACACCGCCTGTGTTTTGGCGTGCGAGTGCAAATGCCGTTGAAGCAGCAGTGGACTTATCAGAGCCCTCAACATTTGAAGCAGCAGTAAGCGGCCCTGACCAAGTGCACTGGAGAAAAGCAATTCATGCAGAGCTCGAGTCAATGCGACTTCGCGGTGTGTTTCGTGCAGCCAAGCTGCCCAACGGACAACGCGCCATTGGCACAAAATGGGTGTTCAAGATCAAGCGCAAGGCGGATGGGTCAATCGAGAAGTACAAGGCACGACTTGTGGCCAAGGGTTTCCGCCAAAAGTATGGCATCGACTACACGGAGACGTTTTCGCCTGTGGTCAAGTATGTGACGCTGCGAATGGTGATCGCAATTTCCAAGCATTTTGGATGGCCCATCGACCAGCTTGATGTGGTGACAGCTTTCCTGTATGGCGTCATGAAGGAACAAGTGTTCTGCGTGATTCCTGAAGGCGTCGAACTTGACAGTACGTTCGACTGCCTGGAATTGGTGAAGTCAATTTACGGCCTCAAGCAAGCGTCGCGAGTGTGGAACGAGACGTTCGACGAGTATGTGTGCTCCATCGGATGTCAAGTATCGGACTTCGACCCATGTCTCTACATCAAGACTTCGGACGGCCATTGCGTGTTTATACTGGTCTACGTGGACGACGTCTTGGTGACTGGAAGCTCGCTCGAGCTGATTGCACAAACCAAGAACGACCTGAAGACGCGGTTCGAAATGACGGACAGCGGCAAGTGTGCGTTTGTTCTTGGGATCGAGCTTTTGGACGGTGAAGATGGCAGTGTGACACTATGTCAGCGTCGGTATGTCGATGATATCCTCAAGCGCTTTGGCATGGAGGATTGCAAGGCAGTCGCAAGTCCAGTCGACATGAGCTCTCGACTTGTTTCAAGTGATGCAACTACCAAGGTCGATGCTCCTTTTCGCGAAGCTGTTGGTGCGTTGATGCACCTGACCACTGCAACGCGTCCGGACATTGCGTTTGCTGTGGGCTATGTGTCGCGGTTCATGGAAAATCCCCAAGAAGAACACTGGGTTGCAGTTAAGCGTATCTTTCGCTACCTACAAGGCACCAAGACGCATGGAATTTGCTACAAGCCAAGTGCAAGGATCGACTTCCGTGGATATTCGGATGCGGATTGGGCTGGTGATCTTACCGACCGCAAGTCAACATCGGGGTACACGTTCATGCTACTCGGTGCGCCAGTGAGTTGGGGCAGCAAGAAGCAGCCAAGTGTTTCGTTGTCCACGACTGAAGCTGAATACATCGCACCCAGCTTGGCGATTCAAGAGGGCAAGTGGATTCATCGTCTGCTTTGTGAGATCGTG